TTATTAGACTGCCACTAAAGATTGGGAAGAGAAAAAAGTGGAAATAAAACTTTATCCACTTTTGCTACTTGCTCAATTTCCTAAAAGCAGTAATGATTTTAAAAGTTTAGAACTTTGTCTAAAATTATGTTTGAGGATTTTCTAAAGTTTTTAAGTGTAAATGATTGGCTTTATTATACTGGGTAATTATAGAAGTTCTTATTACAGTACCTAATGCATGCATTTTTTTTATTTTAAAGAAGGAAAAGATTAAGAATATCAAATCAGTAAAAACTAGCTTTTATATCTCTCTGAATCTTACTATTTTTCATTGTGTGCAAAAAAGAATTATAAACATTCTAGGATTCCGTTAGAGAGTGCAGGAAGAAATAGATAAAAATTTGTCTTCAAATAGACTCATTGTATTTGATGTTAAGTCTCAAAAAACTGTATTGATAACTAAAGCATTTAAATTTCTAAGTAGATGATATAATTTAAATCTAGTATTATATCCTATCCTTCATATTATACTTGATTAAATTTTGCTTAACAAAGTTTTATTTTTTAAAAGATTTCATTCAGATCTGTTTAGTATCATAAGCAATCAAAAAATACATTAATGAAAAAATCCAAAGAATATAAAGTAGATTAACAAGCATACCTGAAAATAAAGTAATATGCTTTTTAGAACATTTATTTGAAGCAAAAATAAAATCCTTGGGTAGTTATGACATCAAGATTGATAATAGTTAACTAGTTGGTTTTTTTTTTAATCAAAATTTTTTGTTAAACTGTTTTTGACTTTTATCAAATTATATACACAGGCAGACATGTATCTAAAACATTTGCCTGTAATTAGTATAAACGTAATTATTGAGTTTTCATAAAATAATATTAGAATTATTTTTGTTAGTTCCTTCAAAAATGTTAGAAATCTGACATTTAAAAGAACTCACAAGACTACAGCATAGAGCATCCTTACAGAAGACTTTTATTGTGCAGCCAGAAAAAGGACATAGGCAAGTATATAGCGTCTAGGACACATTCAGGCATAGGCGCCCCAGGGTCTTTATTTATACACAGACATACTTTGTCTTCACATTGAGCCACCACGATCTGTGCAATGAATCTTGGCTTCAGGAGTACCCCAGGCAGGAATTCCCATCAGGGTCATTTTTTTTTTTTTTTGCCATTTTGATCCTGTAGCCTAGCCTGGCTATCTAGTTATGCCCGGTGAAAATCATCAGTAAACAAATCAACTTGCAGGCTGCCAGGAGAGATTCAGACTTTAAACAGCACATCATAAATCCCACTGTTTATATACTGGCTAAGAGTCAAGGCTAGACATTCAGGCATCCCCAGAGCTTTCCCAGTCCAGCTGTAAATTAATACTTTACTACATAGTCCCTGACAATTTAATCTAATAAAAGCAAAATGACGATGATAGTTGCATTGTATAAACTACAGTAAAATTTATAAAATGCTTTAATATGCATTAACTTATTTGAACTTTATAATTCTATGAGCTATGTGGGAAAATTGTTTTTATCTCCATTTTATAGATACTAAGACTCAGAGAGGTTAAGTGATTGGCCCAGTTCACATATGTTTTGCGTCAGTAGAGTCAGTTCTAGAAGACAGGTAGTTCTAGAATTTTTTTCAACACTTCATGCCAAAAGTACATATAAAGAACTATTTACTTATTTTCTAACTGTTCTGTGGAACAATGTGGGAATGAACAATATTTTTAAAACTACTAATTTCCCCACACAAAAAAAAATAGTATTTGTGTTTTAGTGAATATAATATAATATAAATGTTTTCAGAATTTTTTTAATGACTTCCAAATTAAGTCTAAGTCCAGTGCCTATTTTTTTCTTTTTAGTTATGTAGCAGGAGACTTTGTTTCAAAGGAATACGAGATAATATATATTTGGGAGAATTGTTCACAAAATTATTTTTCTAGGATTTTTCACACATGAGTATCAAATTGGGTGTGCAAGATCTAGGTAAAATATCAAGATATAGTTGTACTTGTAACATTCTCTCTCTCTACTCTCTCTCTCCCTCCCTCTCTCCCCCTCTCCTCCCTCCCACTACTCCGACCCCCCGCCGTACCCCGCATCTTTCCTTTTGCCCTCTCATTCATTTATGATCTATTTTCTTGTCTCCTATGCCCAGGTACTGTGCTATCTCCTGAGGGTTTAAAAATGAATAAGATGAGATTCTTGCTTTTAATTATCTTATATTCTATATTTTTTATGAACTCACAGTTCCACACAGGAGAATCTCTGTAATATTGATTACAATACAGTGTAGTCAATTAATAATGTATAAAGTATTATGTATTATAAGTATTGAGATGTAGGGTTTTTGCCAAGAAGTTAGTGAAGACTTGAAGATGAAACACTTTTGAACTAGGTCAAAATTAAGGAATTCATTAGAAAAAGAGAAGACTAGTCTAACCATACATGTAAAAAAAAAAAGCAACAAGGATGTGTTTAGGAAACAGTGAGTGAGTATTCCGATATGCCTGGAACATAAATTACATGGGGTTAATTGGCAAGAGATGAGACTCTTTGAGGCTAGATGTTGACTGGCCTTATAGGCCACATAGAAGCGTATAGACTTCATTCCAAAAGAGTATGGAATCCAGGAGTCATTGTTAAATAGGAATTTTTATTACTAGATGAATTTTTTTAACAGATAACATGCAATATACAGAATTAATGAAAGAGGTGACCATCAGTGAAGAGATGAGTTTGGAATCTGTTGGAATAGTCTTATGAGTGATAACAGAGCTAAAGGTTGGGCCATAGAATGCAAAAGGAATACACAATTGAAAGACAATTAGAAATAGACTCAGGCAAATTAGATTAAAATGAGGAAAGAATCTAATTATAGAAGTTTGGTCTTTGCAAATTGCCTAATCCACCTCTGTTGGACATGAGGTCTTTGAGACACGCAGCATGGTCAAATGAATTGCATTAAGCCATATTACTAGTTGGTGACAGAATTGGGTCCCTGCCTCTAGTGTTCTCCACATTGTACCTTGCTTCCTGTGTCTCCAGCAGTTTTTTTTTTTTCTTGATCATGCCGTGACCTTACCTTGCTTACAGTTTATAGGACACTCTAATATACATTATCTATTTTTACTTGTTCAGCAATCCCATGAAACAAATAGAACAAGCAATATTTTTTTACCTTTCTAAAGGTAAGAAAATCAAATCAGTATGGTTGCTACGCTTATTCAAAGTTTTCTGAGTTTTATCCTTACTACTTAAATACTTATTCCTTAAGTTTTTCCCTTAAAAATATATAGGATTTTATAACTGGTAGAATCATTTGTTGATTTAGATTATAGATAAACTCCTGAAATTATCTCTAAGCCCGAAGTAGATTTTACATTTTGTTTGTTTTGTCCTTTGGTGAATCATTTTGCAAACGAACAAAAAATATCTATTTTTGTTTTATTTTTTATTTTTTGAGACGGAATCTTGCTATCTTGCTCTGTTGCCAAGCTGGAGTGCAGTGGTGCGTGCGATCTCTGCTCACTGCAACCTCCGCCTCCCAGGTTCAAGTGATTCTTTTGCCTCAGCCTCCTGAGTAGCTAGGAGTACAGGCGCGAGCCACCACACCCAGCTAATTTTTGTATTTTTAGTAGAAATGGGGTTTCACCATGTTGGCCAAGATGGTCTTGATCTCTTGACCTTGTGATCCACCCTCCCCAGCCTCCCAAAGTGCTGGGATTAAAGCCATGAGCCACCGTGCCTGGCCTGTTTGATTTTTTTTTATAATCTTTGTTAATTTAAAGCAAAACATTTTCTTATATACCTCATAATATAAAATATTATTAGGACTATCTGGGGGTAGGCAGTATATTATAGGGGACTCCTTAAATACTAGTTTCATTACTTATTGTGAATCCTAGGGCATATTGGTAAACCTATATCAACCTCGCTCTCCTCTGCCTCAGTTTAATAGTAGTCTTATTTCACAGTTACTATGAGTGTTACGTGAGATGACTGCAAAGCATTTAAAACAGTCCCTGGCACTAATAACTACCTGAGATATTATCAGCTATTATTAGATTTGTATTTTCTATTGTAGGAAATTTATAACTATATAAGTATATAGTTGTAAAGACAAAGAGTCAAAAGCAAATGAATTAATATTTACTTGTGAATTTTGCATCAAATAATTTAAGTTTTATAGCACAAATATGATTTACATTTAGATACATACATAAAATGCAATTAAGAAATAAGTGGGAACAGTTCCTACACAGAAGTATCTTTCTTCTTAAAAACATATGTTCTTTAGATAAAGTATTTTATACTCATACTGAATGCTTAATTATGATATTAAAAATCGTTTTTTTGTTTAAGAAAGTCTTATTGTTCTAAAATCATTTCCATGTGGAGTCAAGCAGATATTGAAACTTATTTGATTCTGTTAGAATGTTCAAAACAACTTGTCTTTTTCATTCTTGCCACTAGTCTCTGAAGAAAAAAAGCATTGTATTATGGTGGGACAAATGTTTTATGTTAAGTGTTTACATAGTACAACTTCTGATGTTTATGGAATGATTGAGGTATTGAAGTTTAAGTTCATTTTCATAGAAAGTCCAATCAGCAATATATCTCCATCTCTATAAAGATGTTATAGACATAAATATATTCTTTTTAGTACACTAGAGCTCTTATTAGGTAATATATCAAGATGATAAAGTACTTTTCAAGAAATTTATTGAATTACTTTTGTATATAATATCATTTATCCAAAGAAAGCATGCATGACTTCTAGTTTGTACCCTTCACCATTCAGCTATATTTTTTTCCTCTTTAGTCTCTTCTATATGCATTTCATTAGTAATAAAGGAATCTTCCAGAAGTTATTTCATGGATCCATTTTAGAAACACAAGAGTTAGAATTGATTTTACCAAGTTTAGATTTCTATTCTAATTTTTTATTCTTAATGGTCTATGAAAATAATGTTTATTAATTACTTTATTTTTTAGGCAAGCCAAATTAGATCTAAGAGTTGCTGTAGCAAAAGTTGAAGAGTTAACTAATGTGACTGAAAATCTGCAGGGACAGATGAAAAAGAAGGTATTTTCAATTTCTAAGACAAATGGATACTGTTGCTTAGTTTTCTTTCTATTTTGTTGATTTATTTCAGATTAGGTGTTAAAGAGGGTTGTTAGAAGATGAATTAGTTATTTTATTATTCTTAAATATAAAATATGAAAGTAGGAAGCTAAATTATAACATTGGAAACAACTTTATAAAGAATTTTTTATTTCCATTCTCTGTAGCCTAATTCAATAAAACATCATAATCATACCTAAGCACATCATTATTGAAATGCAAATTAATGCAAGATCAAGCTTCAGTTAACTGGTTGTTTGCAGTGGAAAACAAGCATTTAATACTACATTTTATGATATTTACTAAAATATTTATTGATATAATAGACTCTAGTTCTTTTTAATATGAAATAGAGAAATTTCAGAAGAATATCAAGGAAAAGTCAGGCTTTAGTTTTAGATAGATATAGTTATTGAAAATTCTCTCTCTAAGGCTTATTAGCTATATCACAATCTAAGCCTATTTTCTGATCTGTAAAAAGTTGATGATAGATTTCTAATAATGGTAGAGTTTTTTAAGTGTTACAAAAACCCTCCCATAAGTAACAATTTTTAAAACTTGGATAAATTTTTAAAAACACCAGAAAGCACCCAAAACAGAAAGAAGTAACAGAAAGAAGAATTGTTCATTTTTGGATTTCTGGCCTGACAGTTCTTCCAACCCCCACAGCTGTGACTTCAGAAAACAACTCAGTATGGGCTTAAGGTACCCAAGGTCAAAGTTTAGGCCTAGAAAGCCAGTTGGAAATTTAAAGAAGAAATACTGGTAGCAAGAGAAACACACAGAAAAAGTGAAAGCCAAATTCTGAGTGTAAAATCTTACCAAATATATGCCTGACAACTAAATTATGCATATGGGAGTGGAGTAGGGACCCCAGGGAAGCCAGTGAAGAAGCAGGCAGAGACCCAAAAGATATCTCCTTTTGAAAGACAGAGATGTATAGAACCAAATATTTGAGTTTGCTACTTTTTATAATTGAATACATGTGAGAAATCTGTGTAACTGAAGTATCAGAATACTGAAGCCTTCCTTATTGCTTGAAGTATCAGAGGACAAAGCCCAAAGCTGAAAGAGCAGCTGGAAATTACAGGGGAATCTCTAGAAGCAAGGGAACCACAAAGAGGATGAACCCTACCTTTGCCCAAATCTTGACTGATCTTCAAATTATGTAGGCAGAGGGTACCCTAGGGCCTAGTTATAAAAGCAATAATGGAAAGCAATAAGAACTAATTACAGATATCAACTGCTGCATACTGTATGTGGAAGAGATTTCAAATTTCAAGACCACATAAGGTAATTGTCTACCTGAACTAAAATAAAAAATTAATGCTCAAAAGAACAAAACAGTAACTGTAGTGTATTATCTACACTATCGGGTTTTCAATCAAAAATTACTAGACAGGAAAGTATGACCTCTACTTGTTGGGGAGGTGTTGGGGGAGGCAGCCAATAGAAACTTTTGAATTTAAATGTATCCATTGGTTAGATTTAGCAGACAGAGACTTCAAATTAGCCTTTATAAATATGTTCCAGGAATTAAAATCTGTTTTTAAAGTGTCTAGGAAGATGATAGATAATTTTAATTGAGGACTAGAACATAATTTTTTAAATCAAAACTCGAGCTTAAAAGTTCAGCAACTGAAATAAAAATTTCACTAGATGGACTCAAAAATAGATTGGGCAAGACAGAAGAAATAATCAATAAACTTGAAGTCAGATCAATAGAAATTTCCTTATTCAAAGAACAGTTTGAAAGATTGAAGAAAAATGAACAAGAGCTCAGAAATCTGTAGAACAACGTGAAGCAATTCAACATAAGTGTAATTGGAACTGCCAAAGAAAGGGGGATGGGAGCCAAAAAAAATTAAAGAAATAATGGTTGAAAGCTTCCTAAATTTGGTGGAAAACATTAAAATTTAAGAATCTCAATGAGTAAACACAAAATCACTTGAGACACATCACAACAATACTGCAGCCAATTATGAAGAGAATACCTGAAAGTATCAATAGAAAAATGACCTGAACAGAGAGACAGTGATAAGATTAATGTCTGAGTTCTCATCAAGAAACTGTGGAAACACTTACGGATATAGGCCCTGGCAAAGATTTTATGATGAAGACTCCAAAAGCAATTGCAACAAAAACAAAAATTGACATGTGGGACCTAATTAAACTAAAGAGCTTTTGCATACCAAAAGAAACTCAACAGAGTAAGCAGACAACCTACAGAATGGGAGAAAATATTTGCAAACTATGCATCTGACAAAGATCTAATATCCAGCATCAATAAGTAACTTAAACAAATTTACAAGAGAGAAAAATAACATGAAAAAGTGGGCAGAGGACATAAACAGACACTTATCAAAAGAAGATATACACGTGGCCAAGAAGCAAATGAAAAACTGCTCAAAAAGCTATCTCACACCCGTCAGAATAGCTATCATTAAAAAGTCAAAAAGTAACAGATGCTGGCAATGTTGCTGAGAAAAGGGAATATTTATCCACTGCTGATGGGAACGGCAATTGGTTCAGCTACTGTGGACAGAGGTTTGGAGATTTCTCAAAGAACTCAAAACAGAAATACCATTCAACCCAGCAATCCCATTACTGGGTATATAACAAAGTAATATAAATCATTCTACCATAAAGACACATGCCCATTTGTATTCATCACAGCACTCACAATAACAAAGAGATGGAATCAGCTTAGATGCTCATCAACAGCAGACTGGATGAAGAAAATGTGGTACATATATGCCATGGAATACTACACTGCCATGAAAAGAATGAAATCATGTCCTTTGCCACAATATGGATGCACCTGGAGGCCATTATCCTAAGCAAATTAACTCAGCAATGGAAAATTGTCACTTATAAGTGGGAGCTAAACACTGAGAACAAATGGACACTAAAGGGAACAATAGACATTGACCCTTCTTGAAGGTAGGGCATGGGAGGAAGGTGAAGACTGGAAAAACTACCTATTAGGTACTGTGCTCATTACCTGGGTGGCAAAATAATCAGTGTACCAAACACCCTGACACAGAATTTACCCATGTAACAAACCTGCCCATGTACCCCCTGAACGAAAAATAAAAACTGGGAGGGGGGGGGATATATGGAAACAGAAAGTATTAGAATAGTAATTCCAATAAACAGAAAGTATTGGAATAAAAAAAATACTAAGATTTTATATCCAGTGAAATTATCCTTCAAAAATGAAGGCAAAATACAGGCATTTTCAAATAAACTGAAAATGAATTTGTCCCTAGCAGACCTGCATTCAAAAAATTCTGAAGTTATTTAGGCTAAAAGGAAATGACACCAGATGGCAACTCAGATATAAAAAGAAATTAAAAGCAACAGAAATGGCAGATATTAAATAACATGTATATATATATATTTCTTTTAAGATCTTTAAAAGATGATTGCTTATAGCAGAACTGATAACACTGTATTAGATGGATTTGTAAAGTATGCATCTGTATTACTATGGCACTCAGGACTAGGATCGTAGCTGGATATACAGTGTTGCAAGGTTCCAGTGTTTTCTCTGAACTATTATCTAAATATTAACTCTAAATAAATTGGAATAAGTTCAAGATGCATATTAATAGTTCAAACAAACATAGCTAAAAGCAGTAGAGTAATTAAAATGACATTGCTAGGCTGAGCATGGTGGTATGCACCTGTAGGCCCAGCTACTCGAGAGGCTGAGACAGGAGGATCACTTGATCATAAAAACCATTTGTTAACACCTAAAGCAGGAAAAGATGAACAATAAATTTCTTTAGAAAGATGATACAAATAAAATTTATTAATATAGGTCAAAGCATCACTATGTCGAAGAAAGACCCTGTGATTACCTTGAGAGTTAATGAGAAGTATAATATAGTTAAGAGAGCATATTCTAAAGGCAAATTATCTGCATAGAAATCCCTCTCTTGTTTTGTTAGATTTGCACTATAGAAATAGTTTGAAATATTGGTAGAACTCTCTGTGCAATAACTGTTTTGAATATTTTTTATTAATACAGGATTGACGATAGTTTACCCCTCCTTTTTATTATACACATGATTTGTTTCCAAGTCATATTATTTCTTTTAATGTATGTATTAGAATGCTAATAGCATAATAACTTTATAGCATGAACTGTTTTTTTATGCTGTATAATGGTGTATTGAATTTTCACATACTCAAAGTAAGCCTCTAGTTTCTGTATTTTCCAGGAGGAGGATGTGGTGACTGCCAAAGGAAGAGAGGAGGCATCAGACAGGCGCTTACAGCAGTTACAGTCTAGTATAAAACAATTAGAAATAAGGTAAATTGTTAAATGTACCTAGCTTTATTGATATGCTTTAAAAGATATTTCACAATAGAGTTTCAGTGTGTGATATTTACTAGAATAAATATTTTATAAACTCTAAATCAAAACCATAATCTCTGGTGTAAAATCTGATTTAATCAGCATTGCTTTTTAAAAATTATATCAGATTGTTATACTTAGAATATATATTCAAAGATAATTTAATATTATTTTAGAACCTTTACTAAGTACATTCATTTAACTTTGAAAGAGAATAGTCGTACCAAATTTAGCCCAGTACTTTTTTGGAAACAAATAAAACCCTTGATATTGTGCTTTTGTATCAGTACTGCAGAGCATAAAGCACATCTTTATTTCCTGAGATCATCCTGCAAATTTTGGCATGAACATAGTTGACCTTAAATAAACTAAAATTTTTCTTTCTTCTAAAGAGTGTTAAAATTTTTAAATTATAGTTAAGAGAAAATTTGATATTACCTCAACCCTGTTGTAATTCTGTACTTCTACAAATGCAGTTACAGCAGAAATAAATCATAGACATAAAAGGCAAAGAAAGGAGAAGAATGTTATTTTTAAACACAATCCTTTAGGAATCATGAACCATAAATCCTACAAAAAGTATTACCTGCAAGAGAAATGCAGATTTTTTGCATCTTTGCCATAATATGTCAGAAAAATCTTGCAAGCTGAAGCTTGATCATCAATTATTTTGGTCTTCCAGAAGGCACGGTGCTAGTGCATCCTGCGCCCCAGTACTGTTCTTTCTTGTGTTCGTGGGAATTCTGATTTGCAGTGGCCATTCAGATACCTTTACCAGTCACTAATCTCTGCCCTGATGGCCATCATCAATTGGTATCATGTTTTTCAACAGGAGTGTTGAGTGAGCTTTTTGAGTGAGACAATTCTTAGTTGTTTGAGCTCTGCCAATAACTACATGATGTTTAGCATCCCTGATGCCAAATACTAAATTCCAGTCACACCTCTTAGCATTGTAACTACCAAATGTCCCCATACATTTCAAATGCCAATACCATCATAGTTGCAAACCATTGAGTATAGGACACTAGTATATCAGAAATGTCCATGCAGTGCTTTTTAAAAATCTTGTTTCTTTATAAAGCCGAGTGACATAACTTGATATTAGATTGTGGACTTTATTTTAGGTAAGGAGAATATATATTTGTCCTTTTCTAAAGCTAAGAAGTAATTTTTAACCAGATGCTAAAAGTCATCTTGAAAAAAATGACATTTTCCAAGTGCTTTGATGAATAATTTATCTGTTTAATAAACTCTATCCATTTGACACAATGACTATAATAAAACAGACAATAAATATATGCCTGCCCCTCCCACATCAACAATGCCTTTTGTGTGCTAGTATTTAGAATAACTAATATAGGCAGAGGAAAACAAGTGTGATCCCTTAAGCAATCAGTAATAATTCGATTTGAGAAGAAAGGGAGTAAAAGGAAGTTTTGATAATTTGTATATGTTTGTTTGTTTTTGGTAATTTGGGGCAGTATAAAGGAGACATATGCAAAGCATACTTGAAACTCATATTTCATGCCTATTGAACAGGAGTAGTAGAAAAACATCTAAGAGAGAATTGAAATTTATCCCAATATGACTAGATATGATTTTCCATACATCATTAGAAGAAAAGTCATTAAGACTCCTTCCTGAGAGTGACTTTCATATTCACAGGTGAAGCATCATGTATTCAACATGAGTTGAGCATCTGCTGTTGTACCAGCCAGTGTTTTAGGTTCTGGAATTCTAGGAGTGGCCAGTATCTGGTGATATTGCCATAGATGACAGAGAAAAGTCCTTAAACAACATTTATACCTATTTAGTTTAAACAAATACAAGAATTATTATCAGCAGGGAAAATTCACCAGTGGATACTACTATTAAAAATAGGGTTTTAAAAAATAACTAAAAACCTAGAATGAAGTCTGATTGATGGGCATCACTTACTTGTATAATCACCCCCACTACCTTCTGACCTCCATTGCTTGTATGCTTAAATTGTTAGCGAAAGAAAATTATTCAATAATACAATTGACTCTTGGTTTGCTGCCACTATCAGCCAGAATTGATATTTGAGATTTCACCCATATTTACTAAAGAATACACCCAGATTTATACATCATTCATTACTTAATTGGAATCCAAATCACTTTTTTTCTCCTTTCTTCAACAAATATTCACTTCCTAGACTGAAGACATTTTAAAAGCTAAGTTACCATAGGATATATATATATATGTTTGAGAACCCGAAAGGAGTAATATTAAAGTGATTGAAAACATAATTTAGATATTATTTTTTTCCTTCAAGATTTAGTTGGGTGGGTTTTTAGTACTGTAAAAGACCAAATGTACCAGATAATTCATGAGATTATTTTATTCAGGCTATTGTATTAGGGAGAATGCTCATTAATGAGGAATGTTTCAAAAAAAAGGAAGGTACCTATATAGGCAGTTAAATGACATGTGCATGAGTGTTATGGGAGTCATGAGGAGGGATGGAGGTGGGACTTGGAATATGCGAAAGCAGGGTTGTTTTATGCTGTTAGCTTTATTCTAAAGCACAAAATGATAGGGGGGTTTTAGAGAACAAGGGTGGGAGGATTTCTTAGCCATCTCTGTTTTCTTCGCTCAGATAAAGTCTAATATTAGGGCCAGGCACGGTGACTGAAGCCTGTAATCTCAGCACTTTGGGAGGCCGAGGCGGGTGGATCACGAGGTTAAGAGATGGAGACCATCCTGGTCAACATGGTGAAACCCCGTCTCTACTAAAAATACAAAAAATTAGCCGGGCATGGTGGCGCATGCCTGTAATCCCAGCTACTCAGGAGGCTGAGGCAGGAGAATTGCCTGAACCCAGGAGGCGGAGGTTGCGGAGAGCCGAGATGGTGCCATTGCACTCCAGCCTGGGTAACAAGAGCAAAACTCCATCTCAAAAAAAAAAAAAAAAAAAAAAAGTCTAATATTAGTATAAAATAAAGGAAGAACAAAAGCCAGATACAATCAATGTCTGTTCTTAACTTTTGAGGCAGATAGTTGAGTGGACCAATAATTCAGCACCACAGGTTAGAAAAGGAGGAGAACAAAGCAATGATTAATAATGAATGTGCAGACTTTTCCAATCATATAATATGTCAGACTAAATATTCTGAAAAAACCCTCTTAATATAAGCATCTTGATAAATTACAACATGACTTTTTTTCAAAGTTATATTGTTTCTTTAACTTACATATTAGCATTCTAATGGCATAAAAACTTTATAGCATGAACTGTTTAATTACATTTAAATGCACAACTTATATAGTTGGGAATTCTCAAAGGCACAAACAAAAACAGGAAGTTAAAACCAGAATGATAAATAAATGACTTCCCTGCCGAGGAAGTCAGGGCTGGAACTATATAATGTCACAAGAAGGTAAATGTCCTTAGGGAGGCTGGAACACTTGAAGGAGCCACACTCTCATTAAAAGGCTAAAATAGAATACATTTCTGCTTTTTAACAAGGATAGCCAACAAATAAAACTATCTCCATCATGTAGCCAAATGGAAAAAAGAAACCATAATAATCATTGTACACACAGACCCCTCAGGATTCTCACAGATTAACTTTAGACAGATACAAACTCAATCAGAAATTACCAAATGCATGAGAAAAATAAATCACTCAACTGACAGGAAGAGGGTTTTGATGTGGGTAGTGGAGGGGAGCAGGGAGAATAGAGAAGGCTGTTTCTTCTACCATTTAGAATAAAGAAATGCCTGAAAATAACAAAGAAAATTATAAAATATGCCTTACCAAACATGTTATAAAGCCACAATAAACAACTTTAAATGAGTTGAGTATGTAAATAAGTAGATCAGTGAAACATAATCTGTAAGTAAACTATGATATTTGTATATATGATATTTGCATATTTTAGGGATGTAATGGGAGTATTTCAATTCATTAGTTACTAATGGTACTCATACAGCTGGCCATTAGGCTGGAACTTAAATTGGACTCTTACATCATATTCAGGAATAAATTCAAATGAGTCAGGATTAAAGATTTAGGGGTAAAAAAGTCATAGAACTCTTTGGAGGAAATCTAAGAGATTACACTGACAATCTGTTGATGAGGGAGATCATCTTTATTAAAACTGAAATCCCAGAAGTTGAAAAAAAAAGTCAAATTTAGCTGTATTAAATTTTCAGTGTGGTAAAGAATCCCTAAATAGAGTCAATAGGCAACAATAACAAAAAAGTAGATTTGGAAAAAAATATTTGCAGCATAAAGGACAGATTAAGGATTAATATTTATAATTTAGAGTTCTTTAAAGAGATGAGCAAAGTAAACAATCCATTAGAAAACATGTTCAAAGAAGATTAGGAGAAATTCAAAGAACAAAATTCAAATGGCTTACAAAAGGAAGAAAATATGCCTAAACGTTCTGATAGAGAAATACAAATTGACAGTGAAATGAGGTGGCATTCATTAGACTAGGAAAGGAAGGAGGCTTTCTAACTTGATGAGATTTCTATAAGATATTATTAGATGAGAAAAGCAAGTACAGAAAAGGGAGTATACTATGATTTTTATTGTTAAAAAATGTTTTAAAAGCTGTGGCTAGATGTATGTATAATATGTATGTATATTTATGTGTATATGTGTATGTGTTTATATATAATTATGTGTACATATATATGATGATATGAATATGGAGAAAATTATTTTAAGATGTACATTAGTAAGTTAACATAGCTTGTCTGGAGTAGAGAGTATGAAAGGGGAGAAAATAGAAAGGACCATATAAATGTAAAGAACAACTCATTATTTAAGGGTTTGCTTTATATCATTGTCATGTAACTATAGAATACAGTGTAATTATATAATATGTGTATAATACAGTGTATAATATAGCAGTATAATACAGATACCATAGCAATTGTGTATAACATAATTAGCATCAGAAAATCCAAGCTCAGTCTCATCTCTACTGCTCGTTAGCCATGTGAACTTAATCAAATGCCTAACCTCTCTGGGTATGTTTATTGTTATTTAAAATGGAGATAGTGAAACCTACTTTATAGAAGTATAATGAGTATCAAATGAGAAAATATTAATACATATAAAAGTTAGTGGGATAATACCTGTCCTATAGTAGATGCTTAGTTAATCTCCCTCTTTCCCCTTAAAAAAAGTTTAACTTTCCCAATGTGATTATTGATTTCTAGATTATGTGTGACAATTCAAGAAGCCAACCAGTTAAGAACAGAAAAAACACATCTGGAAAAACAGACCAGAGAGCTACAAGCAAAGTGCAATGAATTAGAAAATGAGAAATACGAGGCTATTGTAAGAGCCAGAAATAGCATGCAACTCTTAGAAGAAGTTAACCTTCAAAAAAGTCAGGTAAGAAAGCTAGTAAATATGTTTTGAAATAATAAAATGTTGACTATTCTTCCATGTGACCTCACAGTAAGGGATTCAATAGCTGCAGAATAAATGCATGAAATTGCTACTCTCTGCATTAATAATCATACCATATTCTTGGATGTTAAAACCAAATACCATAATATGATGTCAAATCTTTTTTAAAATAATGTATAAATATCAGACTTTCCTTATCTGCCGAAACCTTGCGTAACTGATCATCATCCCCTGTAGTCTCATAAAAAAAGTTACAATGCTTTACTGCTATATACCCTATATTTTATTCAGTTGAATATGATAAATTTTACCTGTCTCTATTTTCCCTTCATTATCTACTGAATTACTCTAATAAAGCAGAAGCTTAATTGGCTTTAAAGATTTATTAACTGAAGTCTTCATGTCACTGTTCTTTTTTAATTCTCTAACAATTGTGATTCCTGTGCTAATACAGTGTTCTTTGTCATATACTGCTTCCCTATGAATAATATATATTAGTTTATAGAAGTTACAAAATAGATTTGTTTTTAATGTTGCTGCCTCCCTTATGTAGAGTTCATTAAATCATGAATGTATTTACCAACGTATACTGAACACCTAGTATATACAGAATACTCTGTTACAAGGTATGGTGGGCTACAAAGGAAATGCTTTGTTTTACTTATGTTTCCTTTATTACAGAGGATTTTTCAAGAGAGCTGCTAAAACAGAATATAGTGTAAGTTGGTTATTGAGAAACTAATAAGAAATTTGAAAAGAATTAATTATCTAATTCATAACTGTAGAATACTAAAGTGCTTATGCCTGTCAATATTTCAATCTGTAATCTGAATTCTATCTTTTAGAATAGTTAAGAGGCACACAATAGATATAATATGCTTGGGAATTGTTCTGAACACCTACATCAGCTAGAAAAATTAAAATTAAGACAAAATTGTTTATCTCTACCCTCTGAAGCCTACTTGTATGAGCACTCTTAATACCGAGTCATTAAAAATAAACATCTTGTGTAGAGCACAATGGAAAGAGAAATAGTAGGAACACTCATTGCCCATTCTCCCAAATCTTGTTCCCTCAAATCCTAAGTCAACAGACCCTCACAGAGGCTGTCTATGGCTACAATATTAAGATGCTCCTGACTCATTGCTTAATTGCTAGAGGGTTCCCATCCTCTAAAACTTTGTTAAAAATCAAAGTTTCTCCCAACTGATCATACAAACAAGGCAGGAAGTACAGCCTAGCATAGTTCCTCTTTTCTCCCGCAAGTTTATTACATAAGAACAGCTGTTACTTCTCACTAGCTTACTTATTTAGGGTGGAAGAAATTTATCTTAAAACAATTTAAAAAAAAAAGGTGAGAATGTGTTTGATACCTTTGGAAGATGGTGGGAACAGAACATGGTCACTTACATGTTGATTTAAAGTGGGATTCAATTTGGCCTAATTGAAGGAGTTCCAAGGCCCTGAAAAATGTTTGTGTTAGAGATGTAAATATGGGGATTGTCAGCATATAAATGATATTTAAAACGATGAGATTTTATTGGACTACTAAAAGAAGGACAGATAGAGAAGGGAACAAGAACTGAACCTTGGTAGTCCAGTATTAAGAGGTTCAGGAGATGAGGAAGAATCAGCAGTGAAGGCTGAAGAGGAGTGATCAGTGAGATAGAAGGAAAACCAGTACTGTGGGTGATGTGCTGAAACCACATGCGGAAAGTACAACAAGGAGAGGAAAGTAAATATCTCAAGTGTTGCTGGTAAAGAAGTACTGAAAATTTACTCATAGATAATTAATATGGAGACCATGGTGGTAAAAGCCTGAGTCAATGAATTATAAAAGAGATTGAGAGGAAAAGTGTTGCAGATTAACAAGTTACAGAGTTTTGCTTCACAGAGAAGCAAGGAAATGGAGTGTGACTGACAGCAGAGCTAGGATTATGGCAATATTTATTTAGTGGGAGATGGAAATGAATGGAGGGATAGAAACATCAAAGAGGCAAAACAAGTGGTATCTGCAATGATTAAGTTATGAGTTAATTGAGTTAATGGGTAACATAATTTGAATAATACCAAATAATGGAAAGAGAGAGAAATTCAAGAGATTTTTTTTTTTGAGATGGAGTCTTATTTTGTCACCCAAGCCGGAGTACAGTGGCGCAATCTCAGTTTACCACAACCTCCACCTCCTGGGTTCAAGTGATTCTCCTGCCTCAGCCTCCCAAGTAGCTGGGATTACAGATCTATGCTACCACACTTAGCTAATTTTTGTACTTTTAATAGAGACGAGCTTTTGCCATATTGGCCAGGCTGGTCTCAAACTCCTGACCTCTGGTGATCTGCCCACCTCAGCCTCTCAAAGTGCTGGGATTACAGGCATGATCCACCACATCCAGTCAAGAGATTCTAATAAGGATACAATACCTAGATTTTATGACTTACTTTATAAACGGACTTTCAAAAAATGGAAAATTCAAAAATGGTTTTAAGATTTCTGGCTGTAGAAATTAAAAGAGTGTTAGAAACATTGGCTGAAATAAATTCCAAAGAGAAAATGTCTTTACTTAGGACAAGGACAGCTGAGGAGGTTAGGGAAAATAAATATCATTCATGACTTCAATATGATATTCAAGTAGATATGTCCCAGAAGTTTTGAATAGGTATTTATAGAAAGTGACTAGTGGATAGATTTTTACCTGTTATTATCTTTACTAATAATGATGTGATCTATAACATGAAATGATTATTTTCTGAAGGCTCTACTTGAGGAGAAGCAAAAAGAAGAAGACAGAGAGAAAATGAGAGAGACAGTTTCTCGGGTTGTACAAGATACTACCGTAAGAATCAAGAAAGAAGTAAGGATGTTTAATTGTATTTAAAATTCAGAATTTAAGTCACAACTAAAGACTAAATTCTACCTAGATATTTGTAAATTAAAATTAAAATGCTTGCCTACATAAAGGAACTGAGTAAAGGCTCCTTTCTTTTAAAATGATCTCTGGTAAGATAGTGGGATATACTGTATAGCCCTCCACCAGATAAAGGTGTTCCTTTTTTCCTTATCTGTATTTTTTGTGGACAATATTATTTCTTATATGTATATTTGTGGGCAGTATTATTTCTTAGGGGAACTGTAGTTTTAAACTGGTTTCCAAAACTTCATCAGTTCAGAAAAAATAAAGTTAAAAATATTTGCTTTGTCCCAAGCACTGAGTGGTGGAATTTTCATTTCCACAAAGCCACTGTATACCATTTCTTTTTGCAAAAGTATTTCTTAGAAATCGATTAGTTTTACAGAATCATAGTGTAAAGAAAAAAAAAAGAAATCTATTACTTTGTCATTATCTGACCGAAATTACATAATTTTCCAAGATAAAATTTTTAATTTAAGGCAAAGTCCAAAGTAAACCCTGTGCTTTCTAATTTCTAATCTTCTGTATCCTTTCTGCAGGAGCTCTGTCCTATTCATGAAGTTGAGAGTACTCTAATTTTGGACTATAGCCTAAAATATTCTCGATGACATATTTTAAAAATAAATATTAATAAATTTTATATTTTAATGATAAAAAAATGTTTTATTGAAGTTTGGTATGAGCATTCCTCCAACTGTATTTTCTTATCCTAAAATAAAATCAAATTGATTTTGAGGTTAATGAAGGTTGTTTTTTGCATGAAGCTTTAAATAATCTAAGTAGAATTTTTCAAAAGCATTGTGATCTTAATATTCATTTCAGATGTTTTGCAAATGGAATATACAGATGTTTCCTAAAATTCAGTTATTTCCTATTCAAATATGTAGTTTTACCAGGCATCTGAAGCTCAACATGTCTGAAACTGAACTTAATCTTGTAGTCCCAGATCATTCCTTCCTTAGGTGTTCCTGTTGACTTCCTGTAGCAGCTTTTCCTTGCCATTACAACTAGTCACTCAGAAAGTATTTTTTGAGCACTTCCTGTGTGCCAAGCATTTTGCTGGGTCTTTGCCCTCTCTAAGTTCCATACTGTTGCCAAGTTGATTTTTTTAAGTAAACATATACATATATATATATGTAAGTTTTTAAAATTGTACTTTAGGTTCTAAGGTACATGTGCAGATCATGCAGGATTGCTGCATACACGGCAATGTGGTTTGCTACCTCCATCCTCCTGTCACCTATATCTGGCATTTCTCCCCATGTTATGCCTCCCCAAACCCCCCATCCCTGCTGATCCTCCCCTACTCCCCCACAAAAGACCTGAGTGTATATGCTCCCTTCCCTGTGTCCACATGTTCTCATTGTTCAACACCCGTCTATGAGTGAGAACATGTGGTGTTTGATTTTCTGTTCTTGTGTCAGTTTGCTGAGAATGATGGTTTCCAGATTCATCCACGTCCCTACAAAGAACACGAACTCATTTTTTATGGCTGCATAGTATTCCATGGTATATATGCGCCACATTTTCCTTGTCCACTCTATCATTGATGGGCATTTGGGTTGGTTCTGGGTCTTTGCTATTGTAAACAGTGCCACAGTGAACATGCTTGTGCATGTGTCTTTATAATAGAAAGCGTTATAATCCTTTGGATATATACCCAGTAATAGGATTGCTGGGTCAAATGGAATTTCGATTTCTAGGTCCTTGAGGAATCACTACACTGTCTTCCACAATGGTGGAACTCATTGACACTCCCACCGGCAGTGTAAAAGTGTTCCTTTTTCTCCATATCCTCTCCAGCATATATTGTCTCCTGGTTTTTAATGATCACCATTCTAAGTGGTGTGAGATAGTATCTCAATGTGGTTTAGATTTGCATTTCTCTAATGACCAGTAATGATGAGCATTTTTTCATGTGTGTTGTACTTATATATGTCTTCTTTTGAAAACTGTCTGTTCATGTCCTTCACCCACTTTTGAATGGGTTTGTTTTTTTCTTGTATATCTGTTTTAGTTCTTTGTAGATTCTGGATATTAGGCCTTTGTCAGACGGGTAGACTGCAAAAGAATTTTCCCATTCTGTTGGTTGCCAATTCACTCCAATGACTGTTTCCTTTGCTGTACAGAAGCTCTGGAGTTTAATTAGACCCCATTTGTCTATTTTGGCTTTTGTTGCAATGCTTTTGGTGTTTTGGTCATGAAGTCCTTGCCTATGCCTATGTCCTGAATGGTTTTGCCTAGGTTTTCTTCTAGGGTTTTTATGGTGTTAGGTCTTATGTTTAATCCATCTGGAGTTAATTTTAGTGTAAGGTGTCAGGAAGGGGTCCAGTTTCTGTTTTCTGCACATGGCTAGCCAGTTTTCCCAACACCATTTATTAAACAGGGAATCCTTTCCCCATTGCTTGTTTTTGTCAGGTTTGTCAAAGATCAGATGATTGTAGATGTCTGGCATTGCTCCCAAGGCCTCTCTTCTGTTCCATTGGTTTATATCTCTGTTTTGGTACCAGTACCATGCTGTATTGATTACTGTGGCCTTGTAGTATAGTTTGAAGTCAGGTAGCATGATACCTCTAGGTTTGTTCTTTTTGCTTAGGATTGTCTTGGCTATGTGGGCTCTCTTTTGGTTTCATATGAAATTTAAGGGTTTTTTTTCCTGTTCTGTGAAGAGGGTCATAGGTAGCTTGATGGGGATACATTGAATTTATAAATTACGTTGGGCAGTATGGCAATTTTCACAATATTTAGTCTTCCTAACCATGAGCATGGAATATTTTTTCATCTGTTTGTGTCCTCCCTATTTCCTGGAGCAGTGGTTCATAGTTCTCCTTGAAGAGGTCCTTTACATCCTTTGTTAGTTGTATTCCTAGGCATTTTATTCTCTTTGTAGCAATTGTGAATGGGAATTTGCTCTTGATTTGGTTCTCTTTTAGTCTGTTAATGGTATATAGGAATGCTTGTGATTTCTGCACATTGATTTTGTATCCTGAGACGTTGCTAAAGTTACTTATCAGTTTCAGGAGATTTTGGGCTGAGATGATAGGGTCTTGTAAATATGTAACCATGTCATCTGCAAATAGAGACAATTTGACTTCCTTCTTTTCTAATTGAATACCCCTTATTTCTTTTTCTTGCCTGATTGCTCTGGCTAGAACTTCCAATACCATATTGAACAGGGGTGGTGAGAGAGGGCATCCTTGTGTAGTGCCAGATTTCAAAGGGAATGTTACCAGTTTTTGCCCTTTCAGTATGATATTCGCTGTAGATTTGTCATAAATAGCTTTTATTATTTTGAAATACGTTCTATCAATACCTAACTTATTGCAAGTTTTTAGCATAAAGGGCTGTTGAATTTTGTTAAAGTTCTTCTCCGCCTCTATTGAGATGATCATGTGGATTTTGCCTTTGGTTTTGTTTATGTGGTGGATTACCTTTATTGATTTGCATATGATGAACCAGCCTTTTATCCCAACGGTAAAGCCTACTTCATCATGATGGATAATCTTTTTGATGTGTGGTTGCAATAGATTTGCCAGTATTTTATTGAAGATTTTTGCATCTACGTTCATCATGGATATTGGCCTGAGGTTTTCTCTTTTTTTGAGTCTCTGCCAGGTTTTGGTATCAGGATGATGTTGGCCTCATAAAATGATTTGAGAAGGATTCCTTCTTTTTGGATTGTTTGGAATAGTTTCAGAAGGATTGGTACCAGCTTCTCTTTGTTTTTCTGGTAAAATTTGGCTGTGAACCTGTCTGGATCTGGGCTTTTTTTTTTTTTTTTTTTTTGCATTTTAAGTTTTGGGGTACATGTGAAGAACATGCAAGATAGATGCATAGGTACACACGTGGCAGTGTGACTTGCTGCCTTCCTCCCCTTCACCTATACCTGGCATTTCTCCCCATGCTATCTCTCCCCAACTCCCCACCCCCCGCTGTCCCTCCCCTATTCCCCCAAACAGGCCCAGTGTGTAGTGCTCCCCTCCCTGTGTCCATGTGTTCTCATTGTTCAATACCTGCCTATGAGTGAGAACATGCGGTATTTCATTTTCTGTTCTTGTGTCAGTTTGCTGAGAATGATGTTCTCCAGGTTCATCCATGTCCCTACGAAGGACACAAACTCATCTTTTTTGATTGTTGCATAATATTCCATGGTGTATATATGCCACATTTTCACTGTCCAGTCTATCATCAATGGGCATTTGGGTTGGTTCCAGGTCTTGGCTATTGTAAATAGTGCTGCAATGAACATTCGTGTGCATGTGTCCTTATAGTAGAACGATTTATAGACCTTTGGATATATACCTGGTAATGGGATATATCCAAATCCCATTACCGGGTCAAATGGAATTTCTATTTCTAGGTCCTTGAGGAATCACCACACTGTCTTCCACAATAGTTGAACTAATTTACACTCCCACCAGGGTAAAAGTGTTCCTATTTCACCACATCCTCAGATCTGTTGTCTCCAGATTTTTTAATGATCGCCATTCTAACTGGCGTGAGATGGTATCTCAATGTAGTTTTGATTTATATTTCTCTAATGACCAGTAATTATGAGTTTGTTTCATATGTTTGTTGGCCTCATGTATGTCTTCTTTTGTAAAGTGTCTGTTCATATCCTTTGCTCACTTTTGAATGGGCTTGTTTGTTTTTTTCTTATAAATCTGTTTTAGTTATTTGTAAATTCTGGATATCAGCTCTTTGTCAGATAGACAAATTTTTGGGTAAACTGCAAAAATTTTTTCCCATTCTGTTGGTTGCCAATTCACTGTAATGACTGTCTCTTTTGCCGTGCAGAAGCTTTGGAGTTTGATTAGGTCCCATTTGTCTATTTTGGCTTTTGATGCCAATGCTTTTGGTGTTTTGGTCATGAAGTCCTTGCCTACTCCTATGTTCTGAATGGTTTTGCCTAGATTTCCTTCTAGGGTTTTTATGGTGCCAGG